CGAAGGAGATGCCGTGATTGTCTCCACCTTAGGAGGAAACAGGTTCAGAAGCATTAAATCACTTGCTCAGGGTCACACAGCTGGTTATGCCGCAGAACGGAGGTTTGAACTGAGGTCTGATCCCCAAGCCAGAACATGGCATTTGAGGCTCCTTACGACCTGGCCCCAGCTCAGCCCTGAGCCTCAGGCTCATCTCCCAAGGGTCTTTGGCCATGTCATTCCCCCAAGGCACCTCACGCTCCCCGCCAGTGTCTCCCACAGGCAGCTTTCTCTCCCTTCCAGCGACCACACCACACCAGCTCCCGGAGGACGGGCTGCAGTACTACCCCCAGAGGGCCCCTCTGGAAGCACCACCCATCTGTGCTACAGGGGCAGGAAAAAGCTGGAATACCTCTCTCAGCCCCCAGCTGTCTTGACCCTCTTAGCCAGCCCCCCCCCCAACCTGGGTGGGGAAAGCTGATGCTTATCTTGGGCACTGGGCCTCAGCCAGGGCAGCCAGGCGGAGCTGGCCCCAGGTGGCCCAGGTGAGGAGTTGGAGGACACCCAGATGTAGGCCCGTGGTAGGTACCTGCCCACTATTGCTGACCCCTCACAGGCCCCCGCTCGGGAGCCCTTAGTCCACAGGGGCCTCTGCCTGACCCATTCTTCCACATGCCTTGTTCAGCTATTTTCAAAAGCACCCCCTCCACCCCACCTCCACCTCCAGAAGGTGGTCCTTGAAGCCTACCCCATGCTCTGTCCCCTACAGCCTTCTGGCTTTCAAGAACGGGTTGAATGAAGATCAATCATTAGTTCTTAAGTGGGAACAAGTTTCAATCCTGGATGGTCAGTCCCAGTGGGAAGAGACAGAGCTCTCGGCTATGGTGGAGGACACAGCCCTAGGTCTTCTTTCTCTCGCTCACCAAGGGGGCTCGGAGTTAAGGACAGCAAGAGGAGTTACCCAGCTCTCTTGACAAGGTCCACAAGACCTCCTAGGATGCCGTCTCCCTCCACCCCACTCTGCTCCATGGACCATCTCTACCCCTTGAGTGATGTTCTCTTTCAGAGTCCCCCTTCTCCCAGGATCAACATGGCTCAGCTGGTACTCAACAGGCCAGCTTTCGTGCCTCCTCCCTGACTGTTCTGGCCACCAGGCTGGACTCCTCCCAGGTCAGCTGTCCCCTCCTCTTCCCCCCGACACACTGGCAGTGTCCCCAACTCACCTGAGTCTCTCCTTGAGAGCCATGTCGAGAAGCTGGTAAGACAGCCGGCCAAGAAGAGCCCTTGAGCTCGGAGCCAGGGAAGAAATGACCAGTTCCTGTTGACTGGGACAAAGCAGCTCCAGGCCATCTGTCAGAAACCACACCCACAGGAGCAGGCAGAGATGAACTGCCCCAAGAGGGACTCCCTTGGGGGCGGTGCCTGCTGGAGGAAGCTGGCCCCAGGATGGGGTGGGGGCCCGGAGCCCCTTCGGGGCCAATCACCTGGAAGAAGGTGGATCTGAGTAAGGCCAGCTAGCTCTGAGTAAGGCCAGCTAGCTCGGGTTGGTGGGAGGCTCTGAGCTATTTCGTATTGATTTCTCTTACCTGTGCAAGGGTGCGGGGGCTCTTCTTCAGTGTCTTGGAGCCCTGGGAAGGGTGTGGGGGTCAGGCTGCGGTGTTTGCCATCCAGGGAGAACCCTGTTCTGCACGGAGCTTCAGCCAGATCTCAAGGGCACTGGTCGCCTGAGTGTGACCTTGGGGAACTCACCATGGAATGGGGTACATGCACCAGTTGCCCAGGACAGTGTAAAAGCCGCACAAGATAGAGGATATGAAACCATTCTCTAAGGTTTACACTGGGCAGGGTTTTTAAAAAAGTGCAGGTTGTGAGCCCTCAGAAATGTTTTGTGGATCATGGATCATGACCAAGATTTAAAACGCATGAACAGGAAGAGAATTGAAAATACCAGAATGTACATAAGGGTAGGTATTGTTTTGTGAAATTGTTGCTTCAGATATCTACATTTAAGTGTGTATGAGAGTGGGAAACTTTTTTTTTAAATGGTGGCTCGTGATCAAAAAAAGGTCTGCAAAATTCTCTGTAAAGTGTAAACAACAGGAACAAATACAGGTTTTCCTGGTCTCTGAAAGAAGAGTGTTCTTTGTGAAAACTTCCATAAGCAGAAAAGATGTAAAGCAAAGACGGTTTAATTTAATTTAATCGTTAACTTATATGGAAAGTTTTTTCAGCGTTCCCAGACCCAAAAGTAACCCGTCTTAGGCTTTTCTGCTACCTTAGGACACACCTTGCTAACAGATAACACAAATAAACGTAGATAGAGCCGGGGGTGGGGCGGGAGGGGGTCGGGGGCTGAGATGCCGAGCAGCTCCCGGAGCGCGGGCTTCCATCGGCGGCTTGCTGCCGAACAGACGCTGAACAAGTTATTTGCACTTTTTGCCTTTTTCCAGAAAAGCAAAAACCCTCTTGGGATTTGTTTTGGTCTGTGAAAACAGGGACTCATGTAGGTCTTTTGTAAAAGTGAAGTGGCCTACGGTGAGCTTTCACAAGCGGGGCGATCTGTCTGGATTTAGAGCACCACCCTTCACACACAAAGAATGGCACCGGTATTTGTCTGTGTCGGCCAGTCCCCTCGACTGTACCACATCCTCTCTTCGGAGGAGTTTTGGTGCCCTCCTCCCTCACCACACGTGGAAGAACAAACTCAGGAGAGGCCTGGCTTTGACTTTCCTCAGAAGGGAAAACGGGGGTGGGGTTCCAGGGTGCAGAGACTTGACCAGACCTGCCGGGACCTCAGGGCACCTGCCCAGCGGTGCCCCACCCTCCCACTTTCCCCGCGGCTCAGCCCCTGGCCCCGGCCCCGGCCCCGGCCCAGCAGCCCCTCCAGTCCTGGCTCTGCCCTCTGGGTAATCAGAATCACTGGCAGGCCTTTGCTCTTCCTCCAGGTACTAGTTACAATTTAACTGGCTTTCCAGAGAGGTGTTATCAAACTCCTCAAAGTTATTGTGCCTAATCTTCCTGGGCCCCACCCTTGGAGACAGATTCAGTGGGCTGGGCCTCAAATGCACGTTTTAAACCGGCAGAAATGGGCACCTGGGTGGCTCGGGCGTTAAGTGTCTGCCTCAGGCTCGGGTCATGATCCCAGGGTCCTGGGATCGGGGCTCCCCGCTCTGCGGGAAACCCTCTCCCACTCCCCCTGCTTGTGTTCCCTCTCTCGCTGTGTCTCTGTCAAATAAATAAAAATCTTTAAAAATAAAGATAAACAAACAAGGGGTATTAAACAGGGCACATTCTGCGTGGAGCACTGGGTGTTATGCACAAACAATGAATCATGGAACACTACATCAAAAACTAATGATGTAATGTATGGTGATTAACATAATAATAAAAAATTTAAAAAAATAAACAAACAGGGTAAGGAAAAACCCAGAGAAGGGAAGAAGCAACTCCCTTCCCCAGGGCTAGGAGCAGGAGTTTCAGGGACTTGGGCAGAGGCTGCAGAGGCTGCACTGAGCTGCCGAGCAGCAACCAAAGGGGATGGAAGAGTCTGGGCTCTGCCCCAGGTGTTCCAGATATTCCTGGCCCAACAGTATCATGTCTCCCCTGTGGGAAAGGGGTGGGGGGGGGCTCAGAGCTGAGGGGCTCTGGAGGCTCCCATTCCAAGGGACACCTGTGGAAAATGAGGCCATGTCTTGCGTTTCTCAACGGGGCTAAGGGTGCCCTCAGATGACCTGGTCCCAGCAAAGCATGGAGGGCACGCTGTCCAGTTAAGGAGATCGTCCTTCCCCCAGCCCAGGGAACCATCCCTCTCCTTCTGGATGAGAAGTAGCCAGTGGAGAAAGACACAGAAGAAACAGATTTTACAGATTTATTTTTAAAAAAACAAAAACAAAAGGTTAAAAAAGTCCTTCATTTCCAACCCTGCCTGGGGGTGTGAGTGGGGAATAGAACAAGCTGAGAAAGGTGCCCCCCCTTCTTCCCGGGGAGAGCCCCGCTCTTCCCCCAGGAGCCTCCAAGGACAGGGCAAGTCAGAGGCAGGCCCTCGCCCTTCCTGCCCTGCCTCCTCCGCAGGTAGCTCAAATTGCTAGCAAGTTCGAGAGGCAAAGAAGTGTGGAAGCGGGAGGCCCAAGGCTGCCTTCTTCACGACAATGTCACCCCGGCTCTTCTCTGCCCTCAAGACGTTTTCTGGGCCCCCACTCTGGGGCTCCCAGGGCGGGTGGGCAGGTGGGCAGGCCAGGAGGCCCGGCCTGGCCCACAGCAGCTCCCTTAATGCTGTGTGTGGCACAGCAGGGCAGTCGGGCGGGGGGGGGTACTTCACAGTGTGGGAAGGACTTCGGAGACAGCGTGCCCACTCCTGATCTTCACTGCTTTCTGATCTCGCCTCTCTGCACGGAGGCTGCCCTTCTGTTCTACTCCCCATCCTGAGGCTGAGTGGAGTCCAGGACAAAGCACTAAGTGGCTGTTTGCTACAGAACACCTGGAGATGCCAGAGGGTGGCTCTGGGCCCACCTGCCAGTCCAGGCTCCTACACAGTCATCCAGTCACACACACAGCGTTAAGGCGTCTGTGCCAGCAGGCGTGGCCAAACCGGGCCCAGCTTCTCTCTCTCCACCTGCGGAGGGTGAAGGGGGAGAACCCCTGGCTGCTTCAGAAACGGGCTGAAGGGGGGAGAAGCCGGCAACGGAAGAGTTAGCCAGGCCCAGAGAAAGAAGTGGGAGAAAGGCAGGCAAGGGCTTGCGAGGCCTCTATCCAGACCTGACAGCTGCCCTTGAAAGTAACCCAACTCAGGTTGGGGAGCCCTGACCGTACACCCCCTGGAAAATGGGGGACAGAGAGAGGGGAAGAGAGCGGGGCTAGAATATTGGGACTTTGGAGGAAGCCAGTGCTATCAATATTTACAAGCATAAAGCCCCATCTTCTGCGCCACCTACCTCTCTGCCCCTCCCACAGAAAGAAAGGCCCCTGAGAGCCATTGAGGGGGTGCCAAGACCTCCTCACCAGCCACGCCCCATAGGGAGAGCCCTTCCCTCCGACTGGCCCCATTTCTGGGCCCCTCAGGAATGTCTGTCTGGCTCTGCTCAGTCGGGAGGAGGAGCCCCGGGCCAGAACCCTGGCTGCGCCCGCCAGCCCTAGGAGTCCTTGAGCATGCTGATGCGAGCATAGATCTTCAGGGCAGGCCCCAGCTTGATGTTCATAGCGCTCATCAGGTGGTCCTCCTTGAGCAGCAGCAGGGCTTGCCCGTCGATCTCCTGGGCACGGAACTCCTCTGCTATTTCCTGGCAGCCTGAGGGGGACACCACCACAGACGGGGTCAGTCAGAGCTAGTGGCGTTCATGCTTGGCACCCACTGTGCACGATCTCCTTGAACCCTCCTAAGCACGCCTTGAGGAAGGCTGTCTCGTGTGACAGCCCAAGAGAGGCTAAGTGACTTACCCAAGTGATCCACACGTCTTACTCATGCATGTCCTGGTCAGAGCCCCCCTCAATGAATGGGGCAGACCCGGCAGAGCAACAAGGCGCTGTGGGAGCGACAGCTTGTGATCTCCGAGGCCGGCTGGCAAAGGGCACAGCAGCCGCCGCCCTGCCCTTCCAGAGAGTTTACTCTGGAGGAAGCCAGCGACTACGTCATGAGGACACTGAAGCAGCACTCAGAGGAGGCCCAACGTGGAGAGGAACTGAGGCTGCTTGGCACTCTGTGCCACGTGAGCGGGGCAGCCTGGAACCGGGTCCTCCGGCTCCAAACCTTCGGACAACCACAGCTCTGGCTGCCATCTTGACCAAGACCTCGTAAGAGACCCCAAGCCATTGCTGCGCAGCTAAGCAGGGTTCCTGACCCACAGAACCTGAGGTAAACCACGACACTCTGTGGTAGCGAATGCAGATTCTGGCTTCTGGCAGAGGGGTGCTGCTGTGGCCTGGGGGGCGGCAGTGGGCAGGAGCTGGAAGGACCCTGAGGAGAGGGTCAGTGACGTGTCTAAAGTACTCTGAGGGGCTGCACAGCAGTCTGATGGCCTGTGAGGGGACTGCGTGAGGCTTCAGGGAAAGGGAACGGTTTCTGGAAATTGGGAGAAATGGATCCTTGCTGGGAAGTGGAGAAAATGTCAGAACCCTGCCGCGGCTGTAACATGGTAAGTGTGATGGGCCTCACAGACGGAGCGATCTAGCATCCGGCGGAGGACGTTTCCAGCAGAGCGCTGAAGGTGCTGCCTGGCTTCCGACCGCTGCTCGCAGGAAAGCGAGGACAGATGAGGTAAAGGTGGAACTGTGAGACCTCCAGGAGCCAGGAGCTGCTCGTTTGAAAATCCCTGGCCTCTCCAGATAGCAAATGATGCCAAAACTAAGAAGCACTTTCTAGGCGAAGCTCAAAGCCGGGACACAGGTAAGAACACCCGGTCTAGAGCTGGAACTGAGGGCATGACAGGTCTTTTCACCAAGATCTCAGAAGCTCGAACGTGCTGCCTCAGAGAACTCCCTTACGGGCGTGCCTCATGGATTCTGGCCATTCAACAGCAGAGCTTCCAACATATTAAGGGCACTGTCCCTCAGCTTCAGAAGAAGCCAACATAGAGAAAGGCTTCTCTTGGAGCATTTTGGGGTATGGTTTTTGTCTAATGGAGTAAATCCCAACAAGATGCACCGGAAGCCCACAACGATTTTAAGCCATTGTCCTAGCATAAACACTGCTTCAACTGTAAGAGTCGAGGTCACAGAAAATGAAGAGCAGCAGGAACAGGCTGAGAAAACTAGTCTGCTGAAAGCTCAGGCTACCTTTCATGGGAAAGGAAGGAGGACTCACAGGGCGGAAGCAAGAAGGAAAGATAATCACTCCCGGGCTTGGAGTCCTAACCAGGGAAATGCCAACACGTGCCCTGCCAGGTTTCAGAACCGGGACGATGGGTGACTCCCGTGTCCTCCGGCACCGTCCTCTCCTCTTTGAACAGCTGTGCCTACCGCGGTGACCCTACCTATCCCACCGTGCCTTGGGTTTGGGGAGGGAAGGGGGGACGTGTCTCTAGTCCTCAGGTGTTCAGATGGAGAGGAACTGGGCTTGAGGAGCTCACCCATGCCTGGACCAGAGTTTGCTGGTGAGATCCTGGGCTTTGAATTACTGCTGCAATGGGATGAGATTTGTGGGGTCTATGGTAGGGGGCAAGGGTGGTCGGCTTGAGGGAGGAACATGAATCATGGGGGCCAGTGACTGGTGAACTATGGTAACCAGCTCTAAATAAACCTGGCTTCCCTTTCATGTCCCTGTGGGCATGACCTGTGTGATACTGTGAAAGTGACACCATGTATGTAGCTCCTGAGTCTAGATCAAAAGGGCCACAGTCACTTCCACCATGCTCTCCTGGATTACCCACCTGTGGGCAGCCATACCCTCCTTGAGAATCAGGGGCGCGGAGCACCCGAGAACAGGATCCTACAGCCCCAAGGAAGCCGTGGGTCACACCTTCGTCGCAACCTCACAAGAGACCCTGTGGCAGAAATGTCCAGCCAAGCCACTCCCACGTTCCTGAGCCACCATAACTGTGTGGTGATAAAATTCCGGGAATGTGGCAGGAGATGACTAACACACTGCAGTGAGGGGCAGAGCCAGGGATGCGAGCCCAGTTCTGACAGACAAGTCTGCGCTCCCGGCCACTGCTGCCACTCCGGTCTCTGAGTAACAGGCTTGCGGCTGCCGTCCGTACCTGACGTGGCCAGCAGCTGGGGGCGACTGCCAGGAACAACAGCCGAGAAGCCTGCGGGATCCCCCTGAAAGCATCTGTGAATAATGTGAGGTAGGTCTTTCAAGGTTCACGTCTCAATTCTAGGCCTCAGACCCACGTGCGCACCACCAACCCCCGCAGGGTTTGTGCGGTTCCCTACACCCTACCCTTCCGCGTCTGCGCACCTCCGCTCGAGCCGCTCCCGGGGTCGTGTCTCCCGCCGGCCGAGGGCTGCCTGCCCACTGTCACGCAGCTTCCCTTTTCCTACGCTGGTGTTCTCTTTGACTGGTTTCCTACACTCCCACTTGACTCCTCGCCCCCTGTCCCAGGAGAGGCACAGGCTTGGTGCACGGTCACCCCTGCATCTCACACAGACCCTGCCATGCCACGAAGTGCGGCGGATTGCAGCATAGCGACTCCTGAGCCTGAGTCACTAACTGAGTCATTTCCTGGGGGAGGGGGGGAGACGACTGTCCCTCTCTCCCGGGGGCCGCTCTTCCAGTCCCGCACGGGACCCCTCCCGGGCCTCACCTGGCAGGGAGCGGATGAATTCATAGACGTCTTCCACGTTCCACTTGGTGGGCTCGCTTGGCAGGAAGTGGTGTCCCATGCCCACCAGGTCCCGCATGTGCATGTCCGGGAGCTCCAGGTCCCGCTGGCCCTGTCGCCGGCGGGAGGTGGACGAGCTGGCCGAGAGGGGCGACAAGGGCTCCTCGTAGCTTGAGTTATCTGAGCAACGGCTGGAGTCCTCCTGGCTGTGCGTCAGCTGCAACGCAGCCGTGACCGAAAGGGGCACGGTGCCCGCCGGCTGCGAGCAGAGAGAAACCGTTGGCTTCAGGATTGGGGAACAAACTGACTCTGGGTCTCCAGCAGGGCGACGGGTGAAGGCAGGTCGTCCCGCCTCCCACCTGGTCTATGACTACACACCTCTGAACGCTTAGATCAAAACGCCCCCCGTCTTCTGGGCTGTCCCCTCTGGCCCGACGCAGAGCGAGCCCCTCCCTGCACCGCAATGGGCACCCATCCGATTCTATCTGTGCCTATCCCTTCTTCTCGATGTGGGGTTTTAAACCAGGACGCTGGAGGTTTCAGGGGTGGTCTACGAAATAGCACGGAAAATTTCCTGTGCGTGTGCATGCTGGGTCCCAGCCTTCGTCAAGATTCTTCAAGAGGTTTATGACCCAAGTGACAAGCAGCCAAAACCATCAGGCTCGGAAACGTCCCACGAAGACTGTGGGTTCCTGCGGCGCAACTTAAGAGCCTCAGCGCCTCACGGCGCTCTGGGCACGCGAGGGGGGCTACCACATCTGTAAGGAACCCCTGTGTTCCTGGGAGAGGCTGCAAGAACTCCGTGCTCTGGATTCGAGGTGGCAGCGAGGAGCAGGGCTGAAGGGGGCAGGCTGCCTCCTCACCTGGCCCTCTGTGTTAAGACCCAAGGGAACGGGGACAGTCTGTCTCTTCCCGGGGCCGGGCAGAGGAGACCCCATTTCCCTGGCCCCAGAAGGATGGAGGCAAACTGGGAGGGGAGGGGTATGGAGGGGGCAAGGTCACTAAGGCAGGAAATCACCTCTCACGCATCCATGGGTCTAAATGCAGGGGCCTATTACGGGGCCCGGGAAGGGCTTGATCTGACGGCTCGTGAGAAATGAGAACATGATGGCGCGGAGGTGAGGCAGCCTTGGAAGAGGAATGTGGGTGTGCCGGGTCCGTCAGGGAGGGGAGTTGGTGGGGACTTGTGACAACGGAGCTTCGGGCCCTGCCAACCTCTCACCTGCTTCTTGGTGTCCTTCGTAAGTGTGGGCAGGCTGGCTTTGCTGGCCCGACGGCGGTTGTGGGTCGTGGCTCCTGCCTTCTGCAGCTTGCTCCGGTCCGAGTGGAAAAGCCCCACTCGTTTGGTGCACCCCACGTTGTACCTGCCGCAGTCAGGGAAACGGGAGTCAGAGCAGTGGCGGGCCGTGTGGGCCCCCGCAGCGTGAGGACAGCCAGGCTCTCCAGCAATAGCGGAGTCCGTCTGTGTGCTCTGCTCCCAAGGCCATCGGGTACTGCTAGCCGGCCAGCTCTGGGCAAGCCACTTGACCTCTGAGCCTCGGTTTCCTCATCTGAAGCTGGGGATGAGACCGCTCACTTTCTAAACCCGCTCTGACAACTGCATGAACTAACATGTGCAAAGGGCTGGCCAAAACAACTTAGATCACGGCAAGAACTCATGGCTGACACACCCTACACCAAATATGACCTGTGCCAGGAAACAAGTGTGTGCTGTGGTGCTGGGAAGTACAGGTACATCTCGGAGATACTGCTGCTTCAGCTCCAGATCGGACTGGCAAGAAAGCCAGTCACATGACTTTGTTTCCTGGTGCATATAAAAGTAAGGTTTACACTACACTGGAGTTTATTAAGATGACGATGGGGGCGCCTGGGTGGCTCAGTCGGTTAAGCTCTAACTCTCGATTTCAGCTCAGGTTATGATGTCAGGGTCATGGGACTGAGCTCTGCATCAGGTTCCGGGCTCAGTGGGGAGTCAGCGTCTCTCCCTCCCCCTCCGCCCCTCCCCCTGCTTGTGTGCACACCCACGCATGCTCACGCTCTCAAATAGATACATCCTTTAAAAAAATTATAAGAAAAAAAACAATGATGAAGTTGGCTGCATCGATGGACTCTTCCTTTCACGAATGATTTCTCTGTAGCATGCAATGCTGTTCGATAGCGTTGTTACCCACAGGAGAACTTCTTCCAAAACTGGAGTCAATCCTCTCAAACTCTGCCGCTGCTTTATCAACTCAGTTTGATATTCTAAATCCTTTGTTGTCATTTCAACAATCCTCACAGCGTCTTCACCAGGAGATTCCACCTTAAGAAACTGCATTTTTTGCTCATTCCTAAGAAGCAACTTATCTGTTCAAGTTTTACCATGAGATTGCAGCCATTCAGTCCCACCTTCAAGCTCCACTTCTAATTCCAGTTCTCTGGCTGTTTCCACCACATCTGCAGCTACTCCCCCCCTGAAGTCTTGAACCCCTCACAGTCAACCACGAGGGTGGGAATCAACTTCTTCCAAACTCCTGTTAATGCTGATATTTTGAGCACTTCCCCTGAATCCTGAATGTTCCTAATGGCATCTAGAATGGTGAATCCTTTCTAGAAGGTTTTTAATTGACTCTGCCCAGATCCACCAGTGGAATCTGTATCTATGGCAACTAGAACCTTATAAAATGCATTTTTTTTAAGAAGACTTGAAAGTCGAAATTACTCCTTGATCCACAGGCTGCATAATGGATGGTGTGTGCGCAGGCATGAACACAGCGTGAATCCCATCACACATCTCCATCAGAGCTCATGGGTGACCAGGTGTACTGTCAGTAAGCAGTAAAATTCGGAAAGAAATCTTTTTTTCCTGAGCAGTAGGTCTCAACACTGGACTTAAAATATTTACTAAACCATGTTATAATGGATGTGCTGCCCTCCAGGCTTTGTTGTTCCGCTGACAGACCACAGGCAGAGTAGAGTCAGCACAATTCTGAAGGGCCCTAGAATTTTCGGAATGGTAGACATGAGCACTGGCTTCAACCTAAGTCCCCAGCCGTACTAGCCCCTAACGAGAGAGTCAGCCTGTCCTCTGAAGCCCGGCACTGACTTCTCCTCTCCAGCTATGAAAGTCCTGGATGGCATCTTCTTCCAGTAGAAAGCTGCTTCATCTACATTGAAAATCTGTTGCTTAGCGTAGCCACCTTCATCAGTGATCTGAGCCAGATCTTCTGGAGAACTTGCTGCGGCTTCTCCATCAGCACGGCTGCTTCACCTTCCACTTTTATGCTACCGAGACGGCTTCTTTCCTTAAACCCCATGGATCAACTTCTGCTAGCTTCAGACTTTTCTTCGGCAGCTTCCTCCCCTCTCTCAGCCTTCACAGAACTGAAGAGAGTTAGGCCTTACTCTGGACTGGGCTCTGGCTCAAGGGAATGTTGTGGCGGGTTGGATCGCCTATCCGGACCAAACTCTCTCCTTATCAACAATGAGGCTGTTTTTGCTTTCTTACTGCTCATGTGTTCGCTGGAGGAGCAATTTTAATTTCCTTCAAGAACTTTTCCTTTGCATTCACAACTTGGCTGTCTGGTGCAAGAGGCCTGGCTTTCAGGCTGTCTCAGCTTTCCACAGTGTTTCTCACGAAGTTTTGATTTAAAGTGAGAGGCGCACCACACTTCTTTCACTTTAACACTCAGAGGTCACTGTAGGGTTATTAATGGGCCTAATTTCTTTCTTTCTTTAAGATTTTATTTATTTATTTGGCAGAGAGAGACACGGCGAGAGAGGGAACACATAAGCAGGGGGAGTGGGAGAGGGAGAAGCAGGCTTCCCGCTGAGCAGGGCGCCTGACACAGGGCTGGATCTCAGGACCCCGGGATCATGACCTGGCTGAAGGCAGATGCTTAATGACTGAGCCACCCAGGTGAATGGGCCTAATTTCCAATACTGTTGTGTCTCCAGGAAAAGGGAGGCTGGAGGAGAGGGAGAGAGACGGGCGAAGAGTCCGCTGGTGGAGCAGTCAGAACACAGATGACACTGACCATCTTACGTGGGTGCAGTTCGTGGCACCCCAAAATAATTACTCTAGTAACATCGAAGGCCACTGATCACAGATCACACAATATAATAATAATAAAAAAGTCTGAAATGTTACGAAAATTACCAAAATGTGACACAGAGACGCAAAATGAGCTAACGCTGTTGGAAAACTGGTGCCGACAGACTGGCCCGACAACTTCAATCTGTAAAAAACGCAGTATCTGCGAAGCCCAATAAAACGAGGGCTGCTGACCTCCAGCACAGGGCCGAGGGGAGCCTTATTCCAGCCGCCATGCAGAGCACCTCTGCGTAGGGGGCTAGAGATTGCTATTCTTTTGAGGGCTCAGGGCTTCCTGCTTCCGCTGTGGTATGAAGACCACGCAGGGCTTTAGAGGCAGATGAGTCCAACTCCCCAACTCTAGGACACTGGGCACAGGTACTTACCCTTTGTGCCTCAGTGTCCTAGTGGGTGTGAAGGGGCCGGCGGCAATCCCTGCCTCGCAGTTACTCTGCAAACTAGATGACACCGCGCACCCCACCTGCCTAGTGCAGAGCCTAGCACGTGGCCGGCACTCAGTACCCGACGCTGTGCCTGACCGGGGTCACTGGCCTATGCTGGGTGAAAGCTCACAGATGGAGCAACCGTAACTAGTGCAGGGGCTCTGGGCAAAGCTTCTGGTGGAGGGCTTCCCCTAAAGGGCAGTAGCTGCCAAGGGCAGGAACAGAGTGTGGGTTCAGTGGGGCCCCAGGAGGGACAGCCAAGCTAAAGCACTGCTTCCTTTCCTTGGACCCGGGGCTGCTCACTCGAGTTCTGGGTTTCAGTACCTGGCGGACTAGTGACACGGCACTGCTCCTAGGCAGGTGGAGGAGATGGAATGCAGCTAAGCTGCACGCAGGGGCTCCCGGGTCGGACGATCACTGAAGGGGTGGGGGGAGGACCCGAGGTGCAATCCTGAGAGGGAGGGGCTGGTACAGCCGTGGGGCTGAGGCCACTCACCTCTTTGCACACGCCATGGAACAGAAGCGCTTGGAACGCTTGAACTTGTAGGCAAAGTCCACCCGGCCACAGAGCTCACACTTGAGCTTGAGGGGAGTACCCTCCTCTTTGGATTCTGGAAAGTATGGAAGCTGGAGTAAATGTAAAGAGGAGCAATTCCCACAAGACCCTTGACAGCCCCCCAAGAGGCCTGCCTTCCCCGCTCAAGTTCCCGTAGCCGTGACACGCAGTGGCGGACTAGCTTGGAAACGCCCAAGTGCTTTCGCCACTGGTTTGGGAAGGGCCGAAAAGTTTCCCCCACCTGGGAAAGTACCCAGGGGTGTTTGGTGATGACACCTGACAGATTTTTTTCCCCAAGTGCTATGAGCCTGAGGCAAACACAGGTGGTAAAGAATCAGCATCCCTCTTTATGACCCTGGAAGAGACTGGCAGGCTCACAGGGAATACTCTGGGTGCTCTCACAACTGATCTGGAATTGTTCTACCCTACCTCGATCTGTCTAGTTTGCTGTGGACCTAGATCCCAGAACCCAGGAGTTCTGTAACCTCCACAGCCCCCACCCAGTCAGTGGCTCAGGCTGCAAGTGTAGAATCCTTGCGGGGCCATGGTGCTGCCCGAGGGCCAGCCCCTGAGGCCCAAGGGAAGCCGAGGGGAGGACACCCTGGCCCGTGGCACTCCCACCTCTTGCCAATGACTTCCAAAGGAAAAGCAACTGTTGGAATCCCGTGGCTGGCTGATGTGGGGCTGCAGGAGAGGCAGGGGACAAACAGCTCTCCAAGGGCAGTGACTTTCCCTCTTCCCTGTTTTCTAGGGACAGCGGCTGAGAAGGGACCAGGAGGAATGTTTAGTAGACGGACATGTCCCTCCACAGACACCATGAGAGGAAGTGTGTATGGCCGGCTTTTGCAGCCCCGTCTGCCCCTGGTCAGGTGGGCCAGATCAGATCAGAAGGCCTTTGTGCTGGGCGGGGTGCGGGGGGGAGGGGACACCTACCTTGCAGATAGGGCTCCTCCATCTCAGAGTCAGTGGTGGTGGTATGATCCTGCTGTGGAAGTTTCTCAGGCAAGAACCCCTGTGCATACTTCTTCTTGAGATTCCCCACCAGCAGGGACGAGCGTCCCACCTAGAGGACAAGGTGACACGGAGGCCATGAGGGTTAGGTAGGAGATGCTTCCTTGCTCTCCAGCCTCATCAAAATTACATATAGAACGCAGCTAGGCACAGACGCCGGGCTCTACATCATCCAAGTGTGTCTTGCTCAAGGCCCTATTTTGCCGTGTAGCTCATGAGGCAAGATGCCAACTGTCACCAAAGTGCAGCAATGGCTTCAATCCAGGACCAATGGACGGCTTGGGAAGTTAGGAAAATACCTACTCTTCCAAGTGACTAAGGGGCAGAGATAGAGGCAGCAATCAGGTTTCCCACAGCACCAGAACTGCAAGGACCCGGGGCTCACGCGTCACCAGCAGGAATACAGCTCGGGCCCCGTGTGTGAGCGCATGGGGTAGAGAGGAGACTCAGCAACCCTATTTTGGTTTCCTACTGTCCTCCACCATATCGCTGGTCTACCCCAGCCAGAGGGGCAGGCGGCCATGGAGGAGCGCAGGAAAATGGGACTCTGGGCCACAAAGCAAATGCCCTCCGTGGTTGCCAGGATCCTAGATTGGCTTATTCACTCTTCCGGTCCTTCCTTTGTTGCCTCTGTTCAGGCGGGCTGGTGGCTAGATCTCTAGGGTGATGCTGGGGCTGTTACTCAAGTCTGTATCCACCCTGTGAGATGGGTTGGTTTCTGGTGTTTCTCTAGGAGGCCAAGCTGAAGACGTAGTCTAATGAGGGAGGGGCTGTGGCAGGGCGGAGCTACTGACTGATAGTTAAGGTGCTCCAGGGGGATTTCTCTGCCATGGGCCTTGAACCACCTGCAGAGGGAAAGTGACAAGAACCTATTTGTCTTCTGGCATTTTAGAAGGGCAGTTCACCCAGCTCAGTTCATCAAGCTTAGAGTCTTCCACTGACTATTCAAACCACTCACGGACCCAAAGAATGAACAAAAGGCAGATGGCGTCCCATGAAGATGGTATTCTCTCACAGCCAGATAATTTCATCCCGGGAGAGGCCGTTGTTTACCTGGCTCTGGGCTCCTCCCACCCATAGAGCAGCGCCCCCTGTCCTCACCAACTCACACTGCATGGAATCAGCTTGGAGTGCTTTGTTCTAATAAGCCATTTTCTTGATTCTTTTATATTTCCCTTTGGTCTTATGCTTTCCCTGGAGACATTTGATTGTGCCCTTTCTAAAGAGCCCCTCACTTGCATTCACTCTTTTCAAGGCTCTAATCCCAGAAAAGCAGCTGAGGCTACAACCCTGTTCTCTTATCTTCATTTCAGACACATCTTGAAAATTCTATGCTACACACTTTCCTTTTGTTCTCTAACTGGTTAAAGTTTTGCCACTCAGTGGTCCTGGCATTCAAAACTGAATGAGGTCTCATTTTCCAAAACCCATCATCTTGCCCCAAACACCCCAATGTGAACTCCTTTCTAACTAAGGGGGGGGTGTCACACAACACGAGGCAGGGACACAGCTGGGTCTGTGTGTGGACCCTTCTAACCAAGGGGCCTTGCCAATTATTCCTAATCACTGATCCTTTCTGGACCATAGGAAGGCACTCAATCCTAGAAAGAAAATGGCTCTGACATTCTTTTGGGGGAAAATTAGCAAGGAGAGAGCAAACTGTTTACATTTTTGGAAATTTTACATGGAAATGTAAAAATATTCTAATACACATCCAAAATATACTTAAAAAAAAAACAAAACAAAACAAAAAAAAAAAAGAGGGGAAAAGAAGTAGTCCGTACCGGGAAAGGCTCCGCCCCCTCCTGGATCACAAACCCTTCGATAACATGCGTCAGGATTTGGGGTTTCACAATGGCCTGTGGTGGTTTATTCTCACCATTCTGGGGGGCAGTGCCGGTGATGCTGGAGGCAGAATTTCCGTTCCCTGAGGTCATGCCGGGGCTGCTGAGGTCGGTCAGTGCATGAACAATGCCCTGCCCTGTCTCTGTACAAGGGAGAGTAGGAAAACACAAGCAGGGGAGGTCAGAACCAGGTCCAGAACAGCAGAAGGAGAGCAGGGACTCAGCATGTGCCTGGCTTTTTCCATGGAGCCAAACGACAATGCAAACCAAGCAGTCCCCTCCCCTCAATGACCTATTTAAAAGTGGTAGGGTCGATGGACACACCACCAAGTGTGACTATAATCAGCTCTGCAATGAGGCAGCTAAAGCAGCATTTCTTAAATTTCCCAACTGTGCTAAGAACAGTATGACCAAGTCAGACAAGAATTCTCTTTGGGGAGTTAAGACCTTGGTCAATATTGACCTGGACAAACAAGGTCATCTTCAGTTCAAAGGAGAAAACATACTTGGAGTGATATCTCCAACCAGGACGAAAAGCTGCACTACGTATGGGGGCTTGGGGTATGATGGGGTTTTGGGGGGAGAGAGGTTACACCTTCTATGAAGGTCCATGGAGAAGGATTTGATTTTAAGCCTCCTGTGAAATGTCAAAGTACTGAACCCCAGAGATGAACACAAAGGGAACAAGAGGGCTGGGCCCCAAGTGAACACAGTGCTTTCCAGAGGCTGGTTATCTGGGGTCACGTGCTGAGATATACACGCATTCAATTTCTCCCCCAGGAAGGTCGCCGAGGCTGTGGGGCTCTATGCTGCTTCTGCCGGCCCCGTGCTCTTGATCAAGCCCCTTGCCCTGCTCTCAGCTCCACACAATCTGGTCCTCAGCCAACCACAGAGTCCTTCCCTCTGTGGACAACCCTTCCTGAGGTTCCCCCCCCGCCCCCACCCACCACAGGCCTTCCTCTGAAGGACCTGACAGAGTGCTCTAAAAAATGTGCTGAGGGGCGCCTGGGTGGCTCAGTCGGTTGAGCGTGCACTTTTGATTTTAGCTCAGGTCATGATCTTGGGGTCATGGGATCGAGCCCCAGGTCGGGCTCCACGCTCAGCAGGGCGTCTGCTTGAGATTCTCTCCCTCTGCTCCTCCCCCAACTTGTGTGTGTGCGTGCGCGCTCTCTCTCCCAAATAAATAAATAAAATCTTAAAAAAAAAAAACCCCAACAAACAAAAAAACAAGTGTGCTGAGGTGCCTATCCAGACCACACCACAGGGAACCTCCTCTTCTCCACTTGGCCGGCCCCTCTCCTGAGCTGCTCCATGCTTTAGAGGTGCGAAACTTCTTTACCTCACTTTTGCCACCCCCTCCCTGCCCCTTTCTGAGACCATTCTCTACCACCACCAACTGTGGGAGCTGAAGTTGCCTGTAACCTGGAACTTCCTAAAAAAGAAAAAAGAGAAAGAAAAAGCCATTTCTTTATTGCAACAAGCCTATTAAGTATAACCCTGTGTGTGTTATATACTTGAAAAATGATTTCAGTACATTAGTTAAGTGATTTTTGCACAAGACTTTTTTTGTCAATGCTCTTATTTCCTGTTAAAAATGGAAAATCCCACCAAAGAACAGAAATTCAGTGTCTGATATGGAGCATGGAGAAATAACAATAAATTCATTTTAGAAAAGGTTATAACTGGTTCGTTTTCTTACTAGGAGTCCTGGTGCTTGATAAACCAGAATAAATCTTTTTTTTTTTTAAAGATTTTATTTATTTGAGAGAGAGAGAATGAGAGTTAGAGAGCACGAGAGGGAAGAGGGTCAGAGGGAGAAGCAGACTCCCTGCTGAGCAGGGAGCCCGATGTGGGACTCGATCCCAGGACTCCAGGATCATGACCTGAGCTGAAGGCAGTCGCTTAACCGACTAAGCCACCCAGGCACCCAAACCAGAATAAATCCTGTTTGATGAAAAAGAATGTACTGTGACCCATGCTGTCAATCCTCAGACTTCTGTATTGCAACGATAATTTCAGAACTGAGCAAGAGTCATCCAAGAAATATGAATGATGAGACTGCTTTAAATTAGTTTTTGTTTGAGACAGAGTCACACCGGCAAGTTAGAAAGATTCCCTTCAGTGTTCATAGTCATTTGGAAAAAATTTTTTGACAGCTTTGACTTTACTGTAGAGACGGAAATTTTCCCCTTTGGAATTAGTCTTTCTAAATTATAAAGGTGTTTGGCAACAACAAAAAATCTTTCCTTAACTGTCCATGAATAACTAGCAGGACTGAGTCAATCAAACTGAATCAATCAAATTAAATTTCTCTGCTTTTAAATTTTAAACACTTAAGCCTGCATTTACATGGTGATGTTTTCTTTTATTTAATATTTTAAATATGCAAAGAAATATATATTTTACTTAAAATGATAAATAAATGTTGTTAAGATATAAAACCAAGGGGCGCCTGGGTGGTGGCTCAGTCGGTTAAGCATCTGCCTTTGGCTCAGGTCATGATCTCAGGGTCTTGGGATCGAGCCCCACATTCGGCTCCTTGCTCGGTGGGGAGTCTGCTTCTCCCTCTACCCTTCCCCCCTGCTCATGCTCTCTCTCTAATAAATAAATAAAATCTTTAAAAATACATATATAAAACCAAATATATAAGTTAACATTTTATTTTTACATGGTGCTTATTTCCTTCTGGTAAAATATCCTGATTTCTCTAATGAACTACAGATTACAGAATCACAAGATTGGAATGCCTGGTTCAATCCCTTACGAATGCTGGAACCTTCTCTATAATACTACCACCCAGTGATTTCTGGGCATTTGTTGGAATACCTCCAATGACAAAGGAACTTACTACCTCTGGAGTAGTTCCCTCTGTGGACAGTTCAATTAAAAAGTTCTTCTTTACTATGAGCCAAAAACCTATCTCCTGTTAATTTCTGCCCACCCATCCTGGTTCTGTTCCTTAAGACCACGCAGAACAAGGCTAATCATATTTGTATAATGGGCAAAAACACGGGCTTAGAGACTGGTCTTTATCACTCAAGTGAATTAGGGGCAAGTCCTCGACTCTGAGCCTCGGTTTAACTAGCTGTAAAATAAGGACAATTACAATGCCTGCCCTACAGTGCTGGGTGGCTCTGCAGACCACGTGAGGTAACCACCAGCAGAGCTGTGCTAGCGCACTAGGAAATGCTCACGAATTGCTCTTGGTGTCGGAGAGCACGGCACTCACCACCACAGTGTATCTTCTCTCCTCTAGGCCATGCTCCCTCTGCTGCTTCAACTATTCCTTGCACAAAAGGATCCAAGTACCATCATCATCCTAACGTGTCCTGTTTACGTCTTTTCAAGTCAGGGACCCGGTCAATACTAACATAAAAAATCAAGTGCATTGATCGAAGAGATTGATTGGGTTGGTACGATTTTCGTTATGTTTCTTTTACACATGGTCACATTCCTGACTGAGAGCACAGAAGGGGCATAAGTGACTCCCTTGTTTTAGTTTCAAATACCTCAGTGGAATTAATCCATTCTCCTTGAATTCTGGGGCCACTCCCACCTCCGGCTTTTCATGGCTATTCATCACCAAACTGCTTCTGATACCTTGTCTCCTTTTATGGGACCTCTGTATCCTGGCTCCATTCTTCTCCCTCCCCCTGACCCCCCTTCCCTCCTGTCTCTCAGAGCGGTGTCTATGAATGTGCATCGGGGCACTGCAAGACGGGGCGGCGCGGGCATAACTCTTGAGGTCAGATTCTTTCCTCATGCCAAATACAGTAGTGAACAGATACATTCAGTAGCTCAGAGTTGACAGGGCCGATGCTTAATTCCGGGAAGCAAAGACTTTTTGGAATCTAAGTTTTTTAAAAAAAGGATCTTATTAAGCAGGAGAACAAACAAATAAATCCTTTCACTCTAACGTCAGAATCGATCACTCTCCGTTATAACTCTAGGGCAGGTTGCAGAAGAGACAGAAGCCAGGGGACAGAGGGAGGGCGTTTTATGAATATACAAAGGTTTGCAGTCATCTTGGAGGCCAAGGCCCCTTCATCTGCTTTAGGAACAAAGGAGCTTGGGCTATTTCTGGAATGACCAAACACAATCTAACCCCCTGCCAAGCCCAGCATGCTGAGATTAATTTAATCTACTTTCCCGCTCTCCCAGACTGCTCTGCAGCCTGCTTGAGGGAAAGCAGCTTAATAGGGAAACTTGCACAAACCTGTCCTGCTGGCTCAGAGGCCAGATAAAAGATAAAGACTCTGTCTTAGGAATTCTTCCTTTCTGAATTCTCTTGACCAGTCCTGAGGCTGGTGCTGCTGCTGGAGATTCCCACAGGTCTCAAAAGTCATTACACACAGCTAGGCACCCGAATCTGAAAGGTGGAGGCCAGGGTGCTATGAGCACCAGAGGCTGTGGGAGGGAAGGCAGGCCAAGCTTTGGTGGTGGTGAAGGTGTGGGGAGGGAGAATCAAGCCTCTAATGAAGGTGCCTACAAAGGGCTGAGTATTCAGATAGGAATGAACAGGACAGCATGTTCTGGGGAACATGTTTTTATATATATGTTTATGTATATGTTATATATATATATATATAAATTTTACATATATATATATCTCAACCTCTAGGCTGCTTCTCAATTCTGGTCTCATTCATAGGCTCTGGCAGCAACAGCCCTTATAGGGGCTGAATAAAATAGGAAGAACCACCCAGCAGTCTGTTTGTGAGATTATCTGCTTCAGGGCTGGGTCCTTTCTGCTAGGCAGAGCAAGTTTCTTTAGGCAGGAGCTATGTCTTGTCACCTCTGTACCTTCAGGGGCTAAACCCCATGTCCGCTCTAGGACAGCTACTTAATGTCTGTTAAACTGGATGGTCTAGAACCCATGTTCTCCATCTTCGAAGGTCTCCTTAGTCTCAAACGGAGAACTTGGCACCATCTGAGATTTGTAAATTACCTACTGAGGCTATGATGATTAGACAGCAGTCAGGCCAGTGCCTTCTACAGGACTGGCATTTCTGGGTACCTGGTTACAAAGAACAAGAGCTATTCCTTGGCCTATTTCTTCCTGTTAGCGTGGGGATTTCTTCAGTAAGAAGGAGCATTAAGGTGCCCCGAAGGCTGGAGTTCTGGATTCCCTGACCCCTTTGAA